AGTGCATCAAAATACTTCTTGCTGATTCCATTATCGTAAGATTCATGCGTTTCACAACTCCGTTTATCTCAGGTTATACGGAACAGTCGTTTGATGTGTGATACCATTGTCCTTTAAAAACGACTCAAACTCTTTTGATTGATACTCACCACCGATGTCTGTGCGTATAATCTTAACTTGCTTACCAGAGATATTCTTTGCATATTTGAAAAACTCTTTAAATTTTTCCAAAACTCGTTCTTGTTTTTTTTAAAAAGTATACTTGTACATATCTGGTGTAGTCATCGATAAAGGAGACATAATATCGAGATCCCCCAATGGAATTCTCTGTATCGGTCCATATACATCGTTATGTATAATTTTGAACGGTTCGTTAGTTCGTAGTGAAACGCCTTTAGGAAAAAAGCAACGATGCTGTTTTCCCATCACACAAGCTTCACAACACTGATTTTCATCTGTTACATTGCCTATTCCATCGACCATTTCATTCTCGATGAGTTTCATTACATCATATATTCCAAGATGTCCCAGTCTGCAATGCCATAAATTCAAATCTGAATCAAAGCTTTGTTCTTTTGCAACATTCATATAATGCTCGACAATTTTCAAATTGTACAGTTTTCCTTGTAGTTTTTCAACTGCTAACAGTTTTGAACTTCGTCGAATGTTACAAACATCGTTTTCGAAAGTAACAATAGCTCCAAGTCTTACCATCGCTCGAACCGATAAATTTCTATTTATGTAAGGTAAATACAATACATCCTGCAAAGAGATGTTTTTGTTTCCGTCGCCAAGAATAGCTTTTACCCTATAAGTTCCTTTGCCTTACGCTAAAATAGAGCGGTTATCTCCAAGGCTTCCTACACACGGTTGCTTAAATTCTACGTAATTGCATAAGCCTTCCAAATCGTAAGTCATGTGCTGGGTTGCACCGGAGTCGATACTCCAATCTGAATTCCTTGTAATGCTTGATGAATTTGAAGTCAACGCATCACCATTATCGATCTCGCTATTTTCTTCGTTTTCTGCAAGCTGAGCAGACTTGTTTCCCTTATTGATTGAAGAGTTGCCACTGTTTGGAAACTGCTTCGTCTTCCTCTGCGGACAGTCTTTTGCTAGATGCCCTTTCTCGTCACAAATGAAACACTTGCCAAGAAAGCCTTTCTTTCGATTAAAAATGTTCTCATTCTGACCACCAAGTTGTTTCCCCCCTCAAAACTTGTTACGTTGCATGGAAAATGCATCCTCTTTTCTGGTCTCGGAATCTTTGGCTCTGTCTTCATCATTTAGTATAATGTTTTTCACTTTCTCATAAGAAAGGTCATTCTCACCAACAGCATCCAGTGCCGTTATTAATGGCTTATATTTATCTGGCAAACTAGCGAACAGGATCACTGCCAGTTTCTTATCATCGATACTTGCGCCCATTTCTTTTACTTGAACGTGTAATGATTTTAAGTTGTTTATATGCTCCAAAATACTCCCTCCAACATGAAATTTTGACGAATAATATTGTTGGCGAAGACGAACCTTTTGAAGTAACGATTCCTCGCAAATTGACTTTTCAAAGCGACCCATGCTTCCTTTGCCGTTATCGTTTCTCTTACGTGCACTTGCTGATCAGGCTCGATAGCCAAGCAAATATACGTCCATGCATTTTTCGCTGATGAATTGAATCTCCTTCGAACATCAGCACCGGCATCGTCGTTAGGAGCAATCGCACTACCTTCAGCGAATTCAAACAAGTCCATGCTTCCCAAATATAGCCGCATATTGAAAGCCCATGACCGGTAGTTCGTGCCATTCAATTTTGCGAACTTAAGAGCGCATCATGCGAGTCATCAGAAAAAGACATTGCTTATGTTTTCAATTACTTATCTTAAGTAGGGCAGTTTGCGTCCTGGGCCCATAACCTATTAGAATTATAATGTTTAGGTTACCATTTTAATATAACATAACCAAATACAACGTGCAGTGCAATAGAACAGAATAAGAATACTAATGACATAGGATGTTAACAAGACAAAGAACCTAACATAAACACAAGTGTTAGTGCCAAAGTCCATGATCAATTATCCAATCATGTATCACAATTATAGATATATAGTTCCCGTATCATATTACTTCAATAATACGTTTCAGCTAATAGCCTTACCAATCCATGGAGTTTGATAAGCACAGGGCATTTAGCTGGTCCAAAAGGCTTGAACATGAATCAAATTGTCAGTTAGCGTTTTTGGATGTCCATAAACGCAATGGTCAATTCCTTACAAGCATTCATCGCAAGGCTACTTTTTCGGATTTGTACACACGCTTTGACTGTTTTTCTTTACACAGAGAGAAATTTCTTTAGTAAAGTGTTTAATAAATTGAACGCTTAGACTGTCATCGGAGGAGTTCATTGAGGGTGATCTCAACTCATTAAAAAAGATGTTTCTCTCAAATGGATATCCGGGAAAATTGCTCATTCTTTGTGGATAAAAAACTGCTCATACTTTGTGGGAAAAATGCTCATTCTTTGTGGATAAAAAACTTTTTTTATCCACAAAGAATGAGCAGAACAGGAATTTTGGACCAGCTAAGTGCCCTGTGTTTATAAAACTTCCATGGATGGGTAAGGTTTTTAATGATATTGAAAGGAAAACTAAGAATAATATGGATAATTTGTTTTTGCGATCGATGTTATCTTTATATTTTCGAAAAGAACTATTCTACCACCCACCCCAAAAAAGTCTCTACCGACAAAACTTTTAGGCAATGAAATTTATGAATATAAATGTGAGTGTGATGCTCGCTATGTAGGTAGAGCGTCTCAAAGGTTGGGTGATAGGATCAAACAGCATGAACCAACTTCAATCAGAAATGGAACGGTCCCCTCAAGACAACAAACAAAACGTGATTGTAAGGAAAGTAATTTAGTTTTATGTGACTCCGCGATAGGTAAACAACACTTGAATAACTCCCATTGTGCTGACTCTTATTCAGACGACAATTTTAGAATCATTAAGAAATACCGTTGATTCTTTCAGTTACGCGTAATGGGGGCTGTTTTAATTAAGCTAAACAATCCCGTCCTCTGCCGACAAAAGAATTATGTTTTTATATATGTGTGAATATTCATGTTTTGTGACCTAATGTGTTCAGCAGTAGGGCGTGAACGACAAAAAGTTACGTAAATTGGAATGGCCGAGAGGGTATGGCATTTTAATTATTGCATAATGGAGGTCTTTTAAATTTATACAAGTTTGAGGAAGCTTCATCTAAGGTTTCATTTTTTGACAGATTTACTCGGGCAAAGACTATTACTAAACATAACTCTCGAATATTTTTGGTATTAAAGTGACCACTCCCTACATTTTAGTTCTTTATTGAGTTGACATCTTTAAGTATGAACCAAGATATACTTGCATTTTTTCAGATTGGCCAAATTTGGTGCCACATTAATATTAGTTGAATATGTTAAACTAATTTTGGCGATAAGAGAATTATTTGTCTTCAAGCCATTAACATTTCACATTTGGCTGCAAATAATTGAAAATCTTTATTAACTATAAAACTTTTCAATATCTTCCACACTGAGAGTGAACATGCAGATGTTTGTAGCTCTACATGTAAAAGTTTGAATTTTTTTATTTTAAAAGTTTGAAGAGAATTTTCCCTGCGTCATGGATAATCTTAGAGGCATCTTTATTCTCATTTGCAAGGTTCACAAAAATATTAAGTTCTACAAAAAGTGACATACGATCTACGTTTATCGAAAGAGGAAAAATTTAAGTGACTTTTACAGCTTTATAAAAATTGGTTAGCTCATTGGAGGGTAGAGGATAACAGTTAATGGTTTTTTCTTGGTAAAAATACTTTAAGCAATATCTTTTTAATCATCATAAAGAAAATACGAGACTTAGATAAAGGACATATATTACTGTATATAGCTTGTCTAAATTAATATTACGACCGTAAGTGTCTTAGAGTGATCAACCAGCCATCTGCTTATTATTTTACTACCTCTTTAAGAAAACTGACACGCAAGAATTAAATACACGATCTTCGCAAACTCAACATTCTAGTCTGTTTCACCATTTAGCGATGATTTCGGATGTTTCTATTTCAAAAGTTTTTTCAATGGTTTAAACAATAAGAGCAATTCTAACAAATCATATATGATTGAAATTTTGACCATTTAGCTCATCCAGAATGCCAAAGAGTAAAAACTATGTTTAAATAGAACAAGATTTTTTAAATGCGGGCCTGTTAGCTTCAGCCTACATAGCCTACTAATAAATCGGACACTACCCATACTTGTCAATTCTTGGAATAAGTTCATAAAGCTACAATCTACTTGGTTTCAGAAATTTTATGTAATATTTTTTAGGTGCGCTCATTCGAGGAGGTCTGGAACGTTGTTGGTCAAAATGCTTTTTATAGTTTGGATTAACAGAATTCCTAGTTCAAGAAAACCAACCCATAATAAAGTCGAAACTATTTAATATAGTGTATCTAGGTTAGCAGGGCCATAGCTCGATTGCTAACTGCAGGAGGAGTGTTAACCGTAACCTTAACCCTAAAGCTACCCCCTACCTAATGTAGAGAAAATCAAAATGTGTTGATGTTAACATATGCTAAAGTAAATGGTTTCAACCCGGGAGTATTGTTACATGTTTATGAATGTAGATCGTCAAGTCAAATTGACTCTGAAGATGACTACCGCTAAGATTGTCGAAACGTCAGCTGACAACAACGACATCAGTCCTTCTCAGGACTATACCAACCTGGATGATCTACTTTTACAAACATTTAACATATGCTATTATCATTTAGAGAACCATATACTTCCAATTTTTTGTACTGAGAGAGTGTTATGTGTATTGAAGCTTTTCATAAATTTATTACTGACTTCCTGCTTGATTATATTGATAAAGATGAACTTGTATGTGTGGCTGTGAGCCTTATTTTTGTGGTTACATGTAAAATGAACATGCAGCAAATTCCTTGCACAATAACAAATGCACAGAAAACTCTTCAGAGTTCTCGACAGAGAACAAAGTTTTAAAACTGCACAGAGATGCTCTTTATTCATGATCCGTGATAAAAAGATCTTGATAAAGACAGTAATAAATCCATACCTTGGCACGAGTTACATTCTCCTGAGTATCCTTCCATACACGTGCAGTTCAATGTTCCATTAATTTTACGATAGTATGTGTTGGGTCCACAAAAAGGAAAGCGAAAAGTGTTTGTCGCTATATAGATTAATAAAATTAAAAATAAAATCAACAATGGATTTTAAATGAAACATGTTCTTCCTCAGAGAACACAATTTGTCACTCAGTCTCCACTATGACGTACCCAGCTTGCAAGTTTTTTATGTAATGTTGGTATCTTCGGTTTTCGCGAATATCGTAAAAACAAAACAATTAAATAAATGTTGAGTATGAACAAATTTGCTGTGTGTTTAGGACAATATAAAGGATGTATCTAAAGAAGTTAGATAATTGAAAAATGTTCAGAAATTATCAATTCATCAATGTGTCAAAGCTCATGTATTTTGGCATTGCCTTGTCTTTTTATTTAAAAGTAAAATGAATTAAAAATTAATCTGGAAAACCATAAGAGTACTTCGTAATTGCCTCAATTTGAGCTGTATCCACAAAGAAAATGAAAACTTTCAATTCTAGTTTAACCAAAGATGTAAAAGTTTGCAATATACTAAAATTTAAGAAAACTTGGTAAATACTAAGCTCACTGCACAACATGCTCAAATTGGACGTTTTTGTCTTTCAATCTATTTTCATGAATTTTTTTCTTATTTAAGACTGATTACAAGCCAAAGTGATTGTTCAAATGAAGTAAGAAACAATAGAGAGTTAAATTTAACACCCAAGAAATTTGACAAGAATAGACAAACGGCAAAAACGTCCAAATTAGACACTTTGAACTTTGAACTTAATGTTTGTCAAACTTTCTATAATTTTGGAAGGAAGAACAACCGTTTACTAAGGCAATGTAACTTTGAACTTTTTAACGTCTTTCTATTTTATGAACATTAGCAGGAGAGTTTTTGCAAGTCTTAGATTATCATGTCAAATAAGTAAATATTTAGCTACCGTTTGAGTCAGGAGTGATACTGTGTATAGCTACAGCCAAGTCAAGATAACTGTTGTTTACAGGAAGAAAAAATTTACGTCTCGTACGTTGATCTGTCGTGTTATGGACACTAACGACACTTTGTCCAACACTAGTCATGATATAAATGAAATCCCCAAATACAGCCATGGGACCTCCTGAAGTTCCAAAATCAATTACATTATGGGAGTAGTAATCACAAGAAAAAACATTTCCGTTTGAAACTCGCCAATAAATTTTCTCTTTAGCCATGTCAAGCGTTAGATCATGTGCTATTGACTGAAGTGAAACTGAAAAAATATGATGTTTATTTGCAGTCTTGTTCCATAACCATAAGAAACGTTCTGTACTTTCTGCCAAGAATAGATACCTTAATAAAAATATTTGTATTGTACATTAGTTTTCTCTATACGTATTGAAATACATAAACAATAAACAGGCTAATATATGCAAGAAAGGAAAAATTTTTCTTAATTTAGATAAAGATGTTGTTAAAGTATTCAGAACTACCTTCATATATAGACGGTTTAATAGAACATATTCATGAAATTTGATAATATAGCAACATAAAGCTATTGTAACTAACAGGAAAAGATCATATTTATCATTTGAAATCTCTCTTTTAAAAGCCGAACTAAAATATATGAAGTAATTAAACATTGTATGTGATTCAGAGCATAATAAATGTACTATGTTATTTTTATTCACATAACTTCTATAATGATTTGTATTGTTTGGGATTATTGATGGAATGAGTTATGCTGTAGTTTGGAGTGGTTGCTGAATGAATTGTTTTGGTAATTGATAATGCTGAAAACTAGCTGATGCGTTGAAATTTTGTTCGATTTGAAAATTTCGTGTTGGTAAATGATATGCACCATTTAATGTAGATATAAAATTAAGAAAGCTTTGTCATTTCAAGTTTAAGCTTTCTTAATTTTTCAGTTTCATCTTGCATGAAAAGTAGCAGCTCCTTGGATGGATCATCGTTTACAAATGTCTTTAAAAGAGCTATAGCTTCACAAACATTGTCTCTTGTTGATAATTTTTCTTAGTTTGTTTGGACAAACGATTTTTTAAAACTATCTTAACCTTCTCTTTTTAATTGTCAACTTTTTTTGTTGTTTTTCAGAAAAATCAGAAAAAGATTGACACTAGAGCTAGCACTATTGGTATCATTTGAAAATAATTATTCTATCACCATGTCTTGTTCGTGTTTTTAAGAATCTTTCGATTAGACAAGCTGCAAAAACTTCTTGCACATTATTGCCTTTACTTTATCGAAAATGTTTGATGCAGCTGGCACTTTTGATTATCATCGCAGCATATTTGCATTCTTTATACATTTCTTAAAAATATCAATCATTTGAGTAACAGTAAAGTCCATGTCTTCTTGTCGTTCATTTCATCTTTCCCCGAAGTCTATAAAAACTTTCTCGCATATACTACCGCTCTTTTGGTTTTTTGTGTTCGTGAAAATTAATTTTTTCTTGTAATATGATAAAAATTAATACCAACATAAAGTTGTAATAAGAGTCATAGAAATAGACCAAAAGTTATAAAATAGAATTTATACTGACGTTTCGTCCTTACTCATGACATATTCAGTCAAATTATAATTTATAATGAGATCTTAAGACAAGATATTGTATTTACAAAAGGTGTTAAATTACGACTTAAGAGGCGGTGTCAAATGGAATATTTGATAAAGAAGTTGGGGAGTAAAATATACTTAAGCTAAGAGAGGTTAAGTGCAATGGAACTTTCTTGAACGATGAGTGAAAACTTATATTTATTGATTAGAAGGCTCTCATGAATGGAGAGTACCTAGGAATCGTTGGAAAAGGAAATTTTTTTAAATTCGTAAATTACTTATATTATATTCAGAAAGTTCTCACTTCACAGGCTTTTCAGCCAATTTCTTTTTAATCTCTAACATGATTATTATCTTGGGATTCATCATCAGTTGAGCAACTACAGATCTAACGTTTGCTTAAATTACACTAAGAAACACTGCATGAACTAAAGGTAGTGGAACGATTTTCCATTCCGGTGATTTGATCGGATGTGTGATTGGATTTATTGAAGAGTAGTGTGCATACAGTTAATTTGCAGCTCTTGACTTTTCAATATACTCCGCCATTCAATGGAAGTTAAAAGAAGGCTTGAAAAACTATAAACTTGATATACTGATTTTTTTCTAAAATGCCACATTTTTTGAAAACTAAAATTCTTTTTTATATTTTTGATGTAACTACGTGGGAATGTGCGCAGTTTTTTTATCTTCAATAAAAAACAAAAAGTTGAAGTTTTTTACGCTCACCACCTTCGTGAATTTTTTAAAACTTTATTGCTATTTCGTATTGAGATTGTTGCACATCTCTTACACTGTCTCAAAAAGGGTTATAGTATATGAAAGGGCAAAGAAAAGCAACAAACAACGCTCACAATCTGTTAAAATCTTTTGTGTAGGGCATATCTTATTAAGCATATGATTACCATGGAGGCGTCAAGCAAATTGCCTTTTCAGATAAAGAAAAGCGCTCTTAGGTGGCCAGCCGAAGCTAATAATCTTAATAAATGTAGACCACCAAGTTGCACAGTGAAATTGGAACACTTTTTGTTTGTAGGTTGTGGCAAACCAATGTTGTGTGAATATTTGACTAAAGCTTCATCGGTAAAGTATTTATTTAATACTTTACTGTAGTTTCTATTTCTCTGTTTTATTTCATTTAACGACTTCATCAATTATAAACATTGCTTTCTCTGCTGTTACATTTTTGTCAAAGCTCTTTGGTTGCTTAACATAAGTATCGCTGTCGATTTTTGTAATTTCAGGATCTGCATGTTATTTTCTGCTGCGTGTGTCATCCTTAAAGTTGGTTTCAAATGCCTCATAGTCACGCAATAAAATATTGCTGGCCAAATCTCGTTGATTTTATTGAAAAGCTGTTTAAATATATGAGGTTTGTTTCTTTATACACAAAAAATACTTAATATTCTCTCCCTCGGTAAAAGCGAGTTTTGTTTTCCCTCGAAAATCAATATTTTTTTCTATTCTTGTACTTTCAAATAACAGGCAATAATACGGACTTCAAAAATTCAACTTTTCTATTAAATTAAAATGCCGTCTCTAACAATAAAAACTCTTAGCTTACTTAAGAAAAGCCTTCAATAGATTGACATAGTTTCTTAATTTTACGTTTACAAGTTAATAAAAAGAATTTCAATATCGCCTTACCCATGTTTTGAGTCAAATGCAATACTGGAAAGTTGTAAGCCTGGTTGAAGCCTCATAACACTTGTAATTTTCTTTTTCAAATGAATTTGGTAGATAATGTTCGTGTAGTCAATGTAAAAGATACGACGACCAATCCAGTCAACTATAAAATCACGAGCATAATCATTTTTTGCAAAAATTTCGTTTCTAGTCAAGTCAAAATTTCCCCACTTGATGTGTTTCTCATCAAAGTAGTAAAGTACATTCTCGACTACATCAATTTTTATCTCATTATATCCTGGTGGAAGGTCAAATTTTTTCTTACTGTATCCATTAATAGTGCTAACATGAATATCTCCAGTAATAGAATTAACAGAGTATACTTTATCAAAGCTCTTAATAATCAAATATCGCTTTGGATAAACATCTAAATGAATAATAAAAAAACTACAAATAACAACGATGCGAGTGAATTAAAAAATGCAAATTTTTATAGACTTTAGGATCATAATATTTGGTGAAAGACCACAATAAGTGTTTTTAGAAAGAGGTTTTCACTATAGAAATATTAGTAATAACTGAAATTAGATTGGCTGCATAACTTTGACTTATTATTGTTGCATATTGTTTTTGGTTCTATGAACAAGAAACTATGAAAATTTATCAAATCTAAGGATTATACCTTTGTAAAAACACATTTCTGTTTGCATTTGCATCATTTCCTTGTTATATTGTTTTATTTCCTTGCATGCAGTTGTGTTATCGTCATTGCCATTTTATCAACGCAAGTTTCCTCCACTCTTTCACGTTGTCTTTTAGTGTCTCTAAGCTTTTCTTGCAGATTGATATGTCGTCATTACCATTTACTATTTGTACACTAATAGACAGGATTATAAGAGTCCCAAGAAACGCTTTTGTTGAGTTTGATATCATCTTTATTTCCTATTTGTTAGAAGATGGATGATTATTAATTTCTTTAAAGCTTTCGTAGTAAAACAGTTATTTTTTTATGAAAGGCTTATCATCAATATAATCATATAATCAGTTTGTTTTTAACTTTTTGGGGGATGTATAAATCAAGTATTGATTTCTATAATTATGTAACATTTTAACTTCCTCTCCAAAAAGTATTTCCACGTTTGCTTTCGGAAAATTGATGATGATTGAATATTGTTGCAATAGATTAGGCAAGTTGTTCATTATAACGACTCATGCTTACAACAATTCATATAAGTAGGTTTTACCAGCGTAGAAAGTTTTTTGAATAAATAGATAGAAGGTTTCTAGGAAACGAAAGCATAGAAAGAAATAATTCATTTTAATGTCCACTATAAGGAAATGACGCAAATTATGAAATTCACCAAGAGCAGTTTACAAAAAATTTAAAATGGGTTGATTTCAAATTTGCTTTTGTTAACTCAGTTTACCAGATGAATGGGAAAAGCGTATTGTTTAACTAAGCAAGCAAAATTAAATACAAAATAGTCTGTTGCTTAGTGTTTAATAGACTCGCTTGCCTCTCTGTAACTACATGCCGTCTAGTTACATAAAGGGAGGCCCTTTAAGCAATACATTATATTCTGCTTTACAACATCTGTTAGTCGTATAAAGAAGTTCGACTCTCCTAATTATATAAGTTCTGAATTAAATGAAATTTATAAGCATTTTGACAGAGCTGCTAAAGTAAAGAAAGTCTAAAAAGCTAAATAGAGGAATGCAACTTTGCAGTATTAAAAATTTCCTACTTCTTCAAATATTTTGTTTCAGACATTGAAAAGGCATTTGCCATCTGTCAAAAATATTCTTGCAATATTGAATAATTGTTGCAGAAGAAGCAAGAGCCGAGAAATGTATCATTTGTTCTGCATGTACTTCTTGCTCTTTATAATGACTTCGGTATTGATGTTTGATGATGATTTGCGCCATTTTAATTTGTTGATTTATGTACCTCTCTTTCTTTATCATTTCCTTTAATCATAAATTACAGTTTTAATGTCCAATCAAGTATTCTTTATCACACATGCATTCAAGTTTTAGCTTACAATTTTCTCTTGCGTATCAATTGAAATATGATATAATACATTTCCAGACATTCCTAAATATCCATTAGTAGAACTTTATCGTTGGTTGTGATCAATCTATTTGTTTTTGTTTTCATCATAAGGATAAATATGAAATGATGAAAAGATTTACGAAGCGGTAAAATTTTTTAAAGAATTTTAGACTATTCAAATTGCTATATGGCATCCAAATATATATGTTGCAAGCTGCGCTACCCTAAATTACAGAAAATGCTTAAAAAAACATACAAAAATGTTTCATAAAGCTTTAAGTATTTTATAAGATAATGATTGTGTTAGATTATCTGTTGGCTTACGTATAAGCATGACTATGATAAATGAAATGTATGTTCTTAATAAGGAAGTGAAATCCATAAGAGCTATTGCTCTTGCATTATGTGATAAACTCTGAATTTTAAGTTTTCTTTATGTTTTCTTTGCTTACCATTGAAGAGGAAATTTGGCTATCAATGAAATTTCTCCTTTGAATTCTGATAAGTTATTTTCTATCCTTCTCAAACAGCAGCTTAGAAAAAATGTAACTGAAACAAAACTTGTCGTGTCTTAAAGTGCTAGTAATATTGGCTTTTTGAATTTTAACATCAACACAAGACAAGTGTTTTTCTGTGGGCGGGGACACAAATTTTGATGATTTTTCATTATCTTTGGGAATAAGAGCCATAATTGCAGAAATTTAGTGTTAGAAAAAATATGCAACAAAAATATTGTTTCAACAATTCCAAGAAATACCATTTACATTGAAAATAAAAGAGCAAATTATTTAATTCCTTATAAAAATACCCCGAGAATAAATATATTTAGTTTGACGTTATTCAAATTGGTCAACTATTTCAAGTGTCTTTGTAAACTAAAAGAAAAATGTGCTCTGCAGATGTTAGTTTCCGCTCATAGATAAGATACAATAAGCCAAAAAAAGTATTGTCTATGAACAACTTTTGTTCAATTTTTAGAGTTCATTATATTATGTTTTATCCATTTTCTGCTTAACCCAACATGAAACTTTCTAAAGTACATCATTTTCAAACAAGGCTAGTTTCTTAGGTGATTATCTTTATAGATCAACTATATACGTGACGGTGACACAAATTTTCATGATTTTTACATATATTTGGGATAAAGAACAATAATTGCAGAAATTTAGTGTCAGAAAAAATATGCAACAAAAATATTGTTTCAACAATTCCGAGAAATATCATTTACATTGAAAATAACAGACCGAATTACTTTAATTTCAAATAACAACACCCCGAGAAAATAATGTTTATGTTGACGTTATTCAAATTGGTCAACCATTTCAAGTGTCGCTATAGACAAAAAGAAAAATGTGCACTGCAGATGTTAGTTTCCGTTCATAGATAAAATACTACAAAGCCAAATAAGGAGTATTGTCTATAAGCAAATTTTGTTCAATTTTTATAGTTAATTATAATATGGTTTACCCCCTTTTTACTTAACCTAACAAGAAACTTTCTAAAGTACATCAAATTGAAACAAGGCTGGTTTCTTAGGTAATTATCTTTATACATCCCATTTGGCATGATTTTAATTTCTCATGTTTTTATTATACTTAATTCATTTCAACGTATTCATTCCCTTTCCTCTCTCAAAAATACAGAAAATAAGGACAAGAAGGACACATTAATGTTGTAAACCCTCCCCCCTTAAACATTTTCAGAGCAAAATTTACGAATTACATTATTCATGATATACATGATATTTTGTTTACAACATCTGTCTGTCGTAGAGAGAAGCTCGACTCCATAATTATATAAGTTCTAAATTGAATGAAATTTCTGAGCATTTTTGACAGAACTGTCAAAGTAAAAAAAGTCTAAAGAACTAAATATAAGAATGCAACTTTGCAGTATTGAAAAATTCTTACATCTTCAAATATTTTGTTTCAGAAAATTAAAAGGCGTTTTCTATCTTTAAAAATGGTCTTGTAGTATTGAATAATTGTAGCAGAACAAACAAGAGCCAAGAAATGTATCGTTTGTTCTGCATATATTTCTTCCTCTTTAAAATGACTTCTGTATTTATGTTTGATGATGATTTACCCTATTTCAATTTGTTGAATTATGTACCTCTTTCTCTTGATTATTTCTCTCAATCCTAAATCTTAGTTTCAATGTCTAATCAAATATTCTTTATCATACATGCATTCAAGTTTTAGTTTACCATCATTCTCATGTAAAAACGTTAAACACTTTGCAAAAATTCAATAATTCTTAAATGTCTATGATAGTTTAAAAAAAATGTTTTTGTCATCTGTATTTAGACTAAAAATACTTAATGATCGTTGCTCTAAATATTTTTGATGTAGCTACTATTTTCTCTGGCGTTTCAATGTAATTATGATTTAATACATTTCCAGACATTCCTAAATATCAATTAGTAGAACTTTATCGTTGGTTGTGATCAATCTATTCGTTTTTGTTTTCATCATAAGGATAAATATGAAATGATAAAAAGATTTGCGAAACGGTAAAAGTTTTTAAAGAATTTTATACTAGTCAAATTACCAGATGGCAGCTATGTATATATGATGCATGCTGCGCTACCCTAATTTAAAAAAAATGCTTAAAAAAACATAGAAAAATGTTTCATAAAGCTTTAAGTATTTTATAAGATAAAGTTTGTGTTAGATTATCTGTTGAATTACGTATAAGCATGACTATGATAAATGAAATGTATGTTCATAATAAGGAAGTGAAATCCATAAGAGCTATTGTTCTTGCATTATGTGATAAACTCTGAATTTTAATTTTTCTTTATATTTTCTTTGCTTACCATTGAAAAAGAAATTTGGCTATCAATGAAATTTCTCCTTTGAATTCTGATGAGTTATTTTCTATCCTTCTCAAACAGCAGCTTAGAAAAAATGTAACTGAAACAAAAATTGTCGTGTCCTTAAGTGCTAGTAATATTGGCTTTTTGAATTTTGACATCAACACAAGACGAGTACTTTTCTGTGGACGGAAACACAAATTTTGATGATTTTTCATTATATTTTGGGATGAAGAGCCATAATTGCTGAAATTTAGTGTCAGAAAAAATATGCAACA